ACACATTAGATGAGCAGCTAATACGAATGTCGAAGAGATCGCCAGTATAGCTCTTTGCGTTACCTTGTATTGGGTTTCTCTAGATCCAGCAATAATTCGAGATCCGAGGATATGGTAAGGTGATGTTGACGACATTTAGTCACGTCGAATGTTCTTATTATGCGCCAAGCAAACGAAACAAGCAATTCAATTGACCCATTTCTCAAGCCACCGTAAGTTTTTTGTGGTATTCTGACTCGAAAGGCGTTCAGTTGCCTCATCACGTATTAATAAAACTTCTCCAAACTTTACCCCGACTTGGAGAGATATGTAAATACGGCAGTCGGCAGTACCCACATGCTGTCCCTCATCTTCATGATGTGACTGTCTTTTTCCCCGTTCTCCCCACAATGAGTCTCGAGATACAGGCCACGTAAGTAAGCCAATAGGTACCGCAGGTCCAATGTTTCCAGATGCTGATTCCACATTTTGGACGAGCTAAGTTAGTCCAATAGCTCTCCCTGAGAAACAATTGACCAGAACTGACCTGAGCTGCCGTCCCCAGTATCCGTGCTAACTGCCCAATGTGTCGCTCCCGATTCCAACAGCGTTCCTCTCCCCACAGTTTGTCAGTGCAGTGTGGAGAAGCCAATCACCGATAGTCCTTGACCATCCTAATCGAGTCAGCCGCTCCAGTGTCCACAGGGGTGGGCGTGAGCTTCGGAATCGGAAAGGTCGAATCGAATCGGCTCAGACATCACGAGGCGCTGCAAACGCAGAAATGCGGCCTGTTATAGAACAAGAAATTGACCAAACCTACAGTACGGCGACATCGATACTGTGCATCGCATCGATTCAACATTCGAACAAGGGTTGTTCTCTTCGTCATCCTTCCATTGCAGTCTTCGATGGAATCAGCCCTCAGCCCTCTCAACGTCGGACTTCAACCCGTGCGGAGGAGGGTACCCCAGAGTTACCAGGGTCTTCATGGTTCACGAACAGCATGCCGTAGTCCTTGCCAAGTCCTCTTCTTTTGGAGCTGGCCCACTTCCGGACCTCAATTATCCGCTCTCAAAAGCCTTACCCTAGGGTCATCATGAAGTTTATCAAAGCTTTTCCCTATAGATCCACCTTTTTGGAATTGCTACTTTATAAATACGTCCTCAGATCTGGTAGCAGTACGCAGCGAGATGCGAGAGACTACTTATTCAACTGACATGAAGTCAAAAACTATGACGCTCTTGTTAAACCCAAGAATATCATGGTGCTTGTCCCTTTGGTCCGGTACGGCAGGGATGAATCTGGGCATTGTCTGAACCAATCAATTCGTGCTGACACCAATTACGTCAGACAAATTGGCCAATTACGGAGAATAGTCGGCAACGTTCGGCTATCCAAAAGCAACCAATATCCTTGACGGGTAGCTCTGTTGACGAATCACGAGGCTGTGAAATCTCTGTCGAAAGTACATTTCCACTTGCATGGAAGGAATGGCATGCCAATACGTCTGAGGGTGTGAACGTGAGCATCCACGGAAGACCAACACCGCTACGGGTTCTTAACGACGCAAGTTGACGGGTTGCTCCGGGTCACTGAAGCTTAATATCTGAATGAGTTCTTCTTGTTCTATCAGGCATGCAATAGTCGGTGTAGGAGCAAGATAACAAACCCGCTCAATATACTCCGTACGCATTAGTTTTTGTGAGTTGAATTTGAACTTCTCACATCTTTCATAGTCATGCTTCATCATATACACATATATAAAAAGAAAGAAAAAAGCAAGTACAACTTCCATCCCTCAACAAATTTAACCGATGCTGCAGGTTTATGTCTTCTTGCAGATTTGCATGGATTACGATGGCCAGCAAGGTGATCTATCTAAAATTAAAGACGGCTGATGATGGAAGACACGGAACGAAAATTCCTCACTACACCACCTCGCCTCATCTGATTCTTACACTCCTTTGCCCACACCTTGACTGCAGTATGTTTCTCTTCACCGTTTCGTCAAGGTCATGTGGGTATACATATTGTGCTCTGTGGGTACGGAGTATTAGCTATTGAATCTCATTCTTGTGACCGCCTCGGATTCCAAGGTGAACATCCAGTTTGGGAACAAGCTAGTAAAGGTGAGACGTCGGGGGATCTCCACATCATCGCGATGCAAATCAATCACCGAAGGTCAAGTCAGTCGCCCGCCTGAAGCGGAGTTCAACCCGCAGTGGGTCCCCTTCCGGCCCCGGTGCCTCCGGCGCTGAGATCACCTCCCCCATCGGCCACAACCCGAGCCCACTGGTTACCACTACGGAGGGCTACTGTAAGCCTAAGCTCGAAGGGGGGCGGGAAAAGACATCCGGCTAACCCTGCCTGGTCAAGTTGAGCCCCTCGAGGTTTGAGCCATAAAGGCAGGGGAGATCAAACTCCAATGAGAGCAGGCATTTTCCGCTTTTTTATTCTTCAGCAGGTTATTTACATATGCTTCTCCATGGGGTGCAAGTGGGCCATGAGCCTCGTTGTGCATCGTGTCGTCTCGTGCCGGTCAAAGCCATCTTGGTGCAGATGCAGATGCAGCCCAGCCCAGCCCAGACAGGGGCTCTTTTTTTTTTGTGACATGACCGGCCCTGATGGTTGAGCTCTGGACTAGGTTTGATAGATGATTTTCACCCTCACCCTGAATATCGGTATTTCTCCGTAGGACTTTAGCATTTTTACCCTCCGCATTATTCCAGGAATCTGTACGGAGTAGTAAACGAGCCGGGGTGGTGGTGTGGCCGATCTCCCGCCCTGGACATGTTCCGCAAACCAAAGGTTGACGATCATGCCACGATTCGCTGTATTCACTACGCACAGATGTATGATGAGCGAAGGACGTCGAATTCAGGTCCGAGATCAACAATGACTGACAGCTTTGTCTAAGCACATCACTTCTGACCGATGACTGTAGGGAATTAACGTCGGTCGGTCTCGTAGAATTCTCGGGACCCTCGGGCATTCTCTTGACACTCCCCAACAACTCGTCCATATTTGAGAAGTGATTTACCACAATCCACGTCAAATGTCGTGTTTGTCAATGAAAAAAATCCCCACTACGGAGCTTTTCTCTCGGGCGGTTCATGCGTGATACGAACCAGGAACAGGCTGCTCGATCGAAGCTGAGAGTTGGTCTGGTCATCGATTGTACCATCTAGACGTCAATAGTTGGTGTTTCAACCTGCCATGTGTCCCTGAGTACAAGAGGCATAAAATCAAGACAGCAACATAATTTCCTTGACAAATAGTTTAGCGCACCTTTCAGTATGATAGTTTGTGTAAAAAGAAAACATCTCAACTGCACCCATCCGCCAACCTTCCGCGCCCTCCGCCGTTATTATCGAAAGCTGGAGCCCGGGTCCGAGACCGACTCCACATACAACGATCCCCAAGGAACCCGAGGCGCGCCCACCACCGCAAATACAATACCGTTGAAGAAGAAATCGCTACATGATATCAACACGGCTTTGCTCAAATACAAAACCCCTCCACCAACAGTCTCCGTTGCCCAATGGCACAGGGTACGTTTTCTATGACAGAAATATGTCTCATCTTTTGCCCTATGCCCTCTGCCGCAGCCACGCGCCGTCGCACTGCATATGTAGACTCCCCCTGCTCGGCTTTGGCAAACGCCATCCCCGAACCTCCAGGCGAGCTTTGGCTCGGCTACCGACGTCCTGAAGCGGCTGCGGCTATCAACCGGCCTTGACGTCCTCCCATCTTACGACTTGACTTAGGTTGTGCGAGGGACAAAAACCACCTACCCCCAACAAGTTGTAACCCTCCTTCACATTCACCTGCCTGTTTGTTACGATCGCGATCCTGCCGCATTTCTCTGGGTTCAAGTGGTGCCCTTGACTTGCCTCAACTCTCCCTACAGGCACCAATGCCTCGCTTTGGACATTCAACAGCCTCAGTTTCTATTTATGCTCTCGGACATCAATTTGCGGCGGCCTAACAATCAATCTCCCCAGCGTTTCAACATAGGTAGCTTGACAAACCAACAAAAACAACCGGCCTGAGCGATCGCACTTCGCAAGCAAAGTTTCGAAGATCTTCTTGTATCTTGTATCGTCATTCATTCCTCAACTTAACAACACCAAGTTGGACCGAAACCACCCAAATACCCATTGGCAATCCAGGACATGACAACCATCTTGCAGCATAATTACTGGCCACCCCCTTGCGCCTGCAGCCAGACATCAGGGGCCTGGGCCTTGATCGACGCGAACAGCGCGGAGGGGCATTGAAATCACTTAACACAATCTTGCCAGAACTTGGTCCTTCACGCTGAGACAAGCAAAGCATGCCCAGGCTTTTGGGCATGTCGTGGTGCTTCACGGAATGAATGGGGTTTTAGCACCTTTCATAGGTTGCTTTCTAGCGCCGGTTCCCAAAGTCTCAGAACAGTCAACCCCATTTTGAGGATATATCCATAGCATTTTGTGGCCAACCAACACCTCACCTCGCAATACTTCATGGCTAGTTGAATCCTTTGATACAACAATCTCATCACGGTCAGCACGTCAAATGTCACGATAGAAAAGGGCAACAACACAAGGCACAGCAATGCTTGTTTCAAGTATCTCTTTGGCTGGTATGTAAAGTCTTCTTCCGTCTCTTTTTTAACCTCGCCTCTATTCCCATCCTGTCTGGTCCATGCCAGATGTAAACAAAATTAATAGCCGTTAACACGTCAAGCAGATTATGGAAAACAAAAAAGCCTCATCACGGAGGCTCGCTCAGCAGAGTACTAGGGGCCACCGACTATAGCGCGTGGCATAACATGACATAACAAGAGTAACCCACAGCTGATCTTTGGCATTGAAGTCTGCAAGCAGCTCAGTGGGTATACCCAAGTCACTCAAATACCGCAATCATTTGCAAGTGCAATCCCGACGACGAGCACTTCATGGTCGAGATGTACATCTTGGCCTATCCCAACCCCTCAAATGACAATGCTTGCAAATCATGCACAAGTGTGCACATGATTACAGATGCGTCTTAGCATCAGCAAAGCAGAGGGGGTTATAGATGCGCTGCTTGATGTATGTGGTCAGGGCAACATCACCCCACTCCTCCCACTCGGCCCATTGGGACTCAGGAAGCTCAGAGACACCACCACGTCGAGCAGCCTTCATGACCTCACGAGCGACAATGACACTAGCATCACGGACACGCTCAATGCGGGGGTATATGAGGCCCTTATGAACCTCATCGGCATTTAGGGAACCGGCCAGAGCAGCGGCAGAGGTGTAAACCATCTCGTCGGTAACACGAGAAGCCTTGGCCAGGATTGCACCGAGACCCAGACCAGGGAAAATGTAAACATTGTTACCTTGGTTGGGGTGGTAGACCGTGTGGTGAGTTTCGTCACCAAACTTGGCCTTGACGGGGTTGAAGGGAGAGCCAGAAGCGAAGAGGACAGTGCCCTCGGTCCACTCAATAGCCTGCTCAAAGGTGCACTCAGCCTTTGTGAGAGGGTTGCTGAGAGGGAAGAGAATAGGACGGCGCTCAAGACCACCCTCCTGAACAGAGTGCTTGAGAGCTCGGACAACAGGCTCGGTGAAGACGCCGAAGGTCGCAGTCAGACCAACCAGGGCACTGGGCTTGACATACTCGATGACTTCCTCAAGAGTACGGTACTGCTGACCATTGTTGTCAGTTCGCGCGAAGTACTTCTTGTGCTCAGCCAGGCGATCACCACGGTCTTTAGTAACAAGACCCTTGGTATCGACGAGCCAGAACTTGTCGCGGGCAGCAGCCTCGCTCAATCCACGGCGTGTATAGTACTCAACGAGCTGTTTCGCAACACCGACACCAGCAGAACCAGCGCCCATAAAGACAAGTCGCTGTTCCTCGATAGGAACACCAGACTGCTCAACAGCACCAATGTATCCACCCAACACGACGGCACCAGTTCCCTGGATATCGTCGTTCTATCAAGATCATGTCAGTGCCGAACTTTCATCAGATTCATCGGTTCACTTACGAAGCATCGATATTGGTTTCGGTAACGGTCGAGATAACCAAAGGCCTTCTCACTGTCGAAGTCCTCGAATTGGACAACCATGCTGGGGAAAACCTCACGGGCAGCTTCCATGAACTCATCCATGAAAGCCTGCTGCTCAGGGTATGAAGGTCGCTTTTGTCGCAGACCCAGGTAGAAGGGGTCCTTCAGGTTCTCCTCGTTGTTGGTACCGCAGTCAAGGACAATGGGAAGGGTCTTGGAGGGGTGGATACCAGCAGCGCCGGTGTAAAGAGCAAGCTTTCCGATCTGGTGTTCCTGGTTAGGAGTATTTCAAGTGTGGTTTTGCGATCGACTTACAGAGATGCCGACACCGTTGATACCGAGATCACCCAGACCAAGAATGCGAGAGCCATCGGTGACGACACAAATCTCAGGATCCTGGCAAGGCCAGTTTCGGAGCATAGCACGAATGGACTTTCGCTGCTTGATAGAGATGTACAGAGCCTCAGGGCGAGTGTAAATGCTAGAGTATTGCAAGCAGACATCACCGATTGTGGGGGTATAGACGAGGGGCATGAGCTCGCGGATGTTGTCGATGAGGAGACGATAGAAAAGGTCGGTATTTTGGTCCTTGAGAGTGGACAGGTAAAGGTACTTGTCGATAGGTGTCTGGCGAGTCTGAATCATCTTCATGGCTCGGGCGCACTGGGTCTCGAAGCTCTCCATGGTGTGGGGGAGGAGACCAGTGAGGTTCTTGGAAGCGCGTTCCTCGGGTGTGAAGGCAAGTCCTGCACAGAGAATTGTTAGCATGCTTGAAGTATCACAGCCGGCGAAGAAGGAATTCGTCACGAGCGACAGACACCTTCCATGACTACAAGTGGTAGCAAGGCCACTGGCGCCATAGTGGTGACAACAAGTGTTGTTGCAATTGACTAGGTGGAATGGGACGGCTTACCCTTGTTCCAGAGAGGTTCTCGGACAATCTGGTAGCCGGCAGCATTGGACTCGTCGACATATTCAGGTGTTCGGTCCTGCTTGACCTCGGCATAGTGGTCTTGGACGTAGCCACGGTGTTGATCAAGGGCGGCCATCTTGATTTGCTGTTCGATCTTGGAAAGGTCGACGGGGGACATTGGATTGGAATCTGTAAGTCTTCGTCTGGAAAGACATGGGGAGGTTAGATATAGTTATAGGCAACGGGGAGGAGGGGTCGGGGGACGGGAGGGGGGTACACACGGGGATGATGTTGTTGATGATCTAGAGCGAGGTGTGGCAATTTCAGAGCTGGCGGTACTATGAGGAGACGAAGACGCCATGGACATAGACAATGAGAGATGGGGTGATGAGAACGGAAAGAAGGATGAATAGGAGAGCCTGGGGATTGAGGGTCGAGGGCGGCGATTATTAGTAGTCGCCGTGAGAACAGCGGCTGGGGGAACAACAGTAGACGAGCGGGTGGAAGCACGGGTCAATGTAGACGATGTCGCGGAGCGCAAGGGGCCACTAGCGAAGAAAAGTCGGTTTAAGACGTTTTGGGCGGAACCGGGTCCCGAAGGCGAGGCCACTGTCATGGTCGAGAGCGTTTGGCCCATGTTTGGGTTTGGGTATGGCAATGGTACCGTACCTCAGATGAGAAACTCGCAGAGATACCAGAGTATGGGGGAGAGGGAACAGGGGTAAGCTCGGGGAACGGGGGTGCGTCTTGTTGGGTGGTGTAGGGCAGGCAGGCAGGACAGGACAGAGCAGAGAAATCAGTGAATGAATCAAGGGATTGTGATGCAACAAATGTTGCGGCCGACGCTTATCTGATGCTGTGAGGTGTGTAAGAATGAGATTGTGAGTGCGTTTATGCAAATACTGCGGCTTGGCGTGTCTTGACCTCGTAGGAAGGGGATATTAACTGCAACAGGCGCAGCACCAGCCAATTTTTTGCGAAACCAAACCCAAATTTTTGGGGAGGTTGAGGAGAGGACGACAAGCGATGACAATGACGGAGCAAGACGGATGGCAACCTATGGACGGACAAAAAGCGGTTTCACTTTTTTCTCCAGAAATACGCCCTGGTCACCTTGAGAGTGGACTGTTAGCCATGTAATTCGGTACCGGTACACTACTAGGGCGCCAACGAAAAGTCTACGGCGCGACCGAGTAAACGTAGCAGATCCTTGCAGCTTTTCATTCGATGAGGAGGATAGGGAGGGGATGAGGTAACCTCTGGGATACGGGAGACATGATGGGGATAGATCGTGGGTGTGAGAAATAACATGGGCGTATAGCCAGTAACATCCCTCTCACAGTTCGAATTCCTAATGAGAACTCGAACTGAACTGGATGAATTGAGCTCGACTTGAGGTCAACCGATCAACTGCAGCACACAAACCCGAGCTGTTATGGATGGGGATAACCGCATGGGGGAATTTTCTTCTTGGGCATTGGGGCTGAAAGGTGAGTAGAGGGTGGGACCAGTGGAAGCACTAGCTGGGATCCCGCGTGGAACGCAGGAGGATTGGGGATATTCATGTATCGGGGGGACTAGCGGGTGACTTGTGGAAAGATGTATCTTTCACCTAGTCCTCTTTGGCTGTGACAGAAATCTGGCTGATACGTACTTTGGCTGGGGAGATGGAACTGAGACGAGGACCCTGGCTGCGGAAGCTACAGGTCGAGCTTCTGTCTTCTTTCCTCTTGAGGCAGGACTCTAACTCGCCAAATACTGGGGGAGCTTGGTAACTGTTTCGGTATTAGAAAGAGTCCCGACATGACTTGTTCAAACTTACCTCTATCTTTCCGTGTCTATGAGTCACTTGACTTTTGAGTTACGTTCTCTGCTCGGTGGCTTTGACTGTGGAGTGCGTAGCAGAGCCCGTGTGCCCCTATGGACGTGCGGGTGAATGTCCGCTTCACGATGCGTTACGCTGGGATGTGAGGTGTTGTCGAGTCCTTAGACGATCAGTGATATGGCCACTTTCAAGAGCATTCCACATGCGCATCTCGGTCAAAAGAAGCCAGATCCAGACGCTCGGCGAAACAGTCCATACAGTCAATCTCTCCTGGGTTATAGGTCGATTTACCTTGGTGAGGCTCAGTAAGGACACCGGCCGGTGTAGGTATGTGTAAATAGGCGCAGAAACCACTTGACGATGGTCCAAATGGGGTGATGGTGGGGGTCAAGTCGTGTTGTCAAGAATCATAGGCGCTGGGATTCGCCGAATAACAAGATATCCGATATTGACAATTGACAATTGAGTAAATACTGTATTGACCAGAGAGGAGATGTGGGATAATTTCCAGGACTTCGAGGTTGATTATTTCACTTGCCTGTCTGTGATGCAATAGCCCTAAACCGAGTCACCCTATCTATTGCCTACAGATAAAAATCTACCGCCGGTCGTATCTTGATTCAATCGGCGCCGGTATCTCTACTGATGTTCTCACAAGCCAGGGTACAGGCCGACGACTGCCGTGCTCAGTCATAGAACGATGAGGAAAATAACCTTTGGCAGAGTCACGACGAGCATTTGAGGACGGAAAACAGAGGCACAGCAAAGGACAACGGCGCCGACTACGGGGGCTAACTTAAGTGGTTCCACATCGTTGTCTAAGCCCTGGTTAGAACCTAGAACACGCAAAGGAAAAAATGTCAGACGTGATTGACAAGATGAGATTCAAGGGAGAGGGATCATGAAAAACATGAGACTGGCAGGGCTTTACTTCTACGGCTGTCATCAGAGGGAAAGGTACGGGTACTCTCAGTGGACGGCAATTTCTGTGTTAATGTGGATAAATGGATAATCAGGGACACGAAGAAAGTATTGAGCCTCAAAGCTCAAGTTTAAAGAGATTGCAATAACCAAAACAAGAAAGAGGCCAAAGGATCCCTGTGTTGTTTTTAACCGAATAATAGCCCATGCTTGGATTTGCATCGATCTTTTGACTGACCTTGATATGGACGCAACGTCTCGCTTTACAACCCGATGTCGTGCTTTCGGAACAAGGTCTCGGTTCGCAATCATCAAACTCGGCGCACAAGGCCCCGGCGAGGGCCCCACCGGACACCCGATATTATCCACTCTTGGAGGCCCCTCTCTGGAGCTCCTCCGGTTGACGGGGCGTTTGTGGACGCTACGTCTGTTAATGAGGTTGTGATTGGACCTTGGAGACTGAATTTGCAAGTTCTGCAAGCCTGAAAGAATTTGATATTTGTGTTCTATGTGTTTTCACTTGTCCTGCTAATAAGTGGCACTTCATTTTGCAGCTTGAAGCGTAAAGCGCCTTACTCAGTCTGTCTATCCAGGGTAAACTCTTACGCGTCCACTGATCTGACTACTTGTAACATAATGCAATTTACATTAGGCGCCGTTACGCTGTTGTGGTATGTAAGCGGGGATTTTTTATGTTTTTCCTCTCTCTTCTACAACTTTGTAGATTTGGACTTGTCGTTTCTATAAATTTCATCCGCGAGAACGCAGTATCGAAGTGTTTCTATGTTGCTATAAACAGCAGAATAAGAATCCACGCCAATTTTCTAGCCCGCTTTAAAGTTGCAATAGGTATGTTTTCGAGCTTGGTGCTAAAGTTGCGGAGACTTATGGGGCATTATCTCAATCTGGTAAACGTAGGGTAGCAATTCACAACAGGGACATCTACCCTGCCATAGTTATGTACATTGAGAATCTTGTCATTCCAGTTTCGAATGTTTCTCCTGTTGCTCATAAGCAAAGCAGTACAGGCAGGTCTCTAGATATGTACAAATCATACCACTCGTCAACGGCCCGACCCTTTGAGGCCGAGAAAGGGGTACGGAGTTGGGAGGAGGATATCATGCAGCCATGTAAAATGCGAAGAGAAACCCCAGTAATCGGGACGATATTGTCCCTTGCTGGGTTCAGGGTCTGACAATTGTTGATACATCTCTCTATGAACTGACTTGTCTCAATGTTCGTATCATTAACAGCACAGACTCTAGGGTCTGATTCCGCTCTTTACTGTGTGCTGCAGTTATCAGTAAGAAGCAATGCCGTTGGAAAGAAGTGCGACTGATCCACGCACACTAGGCCTGCATGTGCTGCCGGTTTGCTTGCTTTTGCTGAGATTGGATCGATTGCCATCATCTTGCGTCTCCCCCATGCTTATTAGGCACACGGTGAGTTGCATTATTATTATCATTTTGCGTCGTACGTAAGATACGGTCAGCAAAGTCCATGTGCCTGCAGCGCCATGGCCACAACAGATACCTATCTTTGGATGCTTACCAACGCATCTCGTAAATGGGGTTCTCACAGGCCGACTCACCGAAATACACTCTTGCCTGAAATTGACGGGAAATGAGTGTCTAGCAGTGTGTGCTCAGAGCGCTGCCGTTTCCCCAACGGTTTGCTGTAGGAGAAGTGACATTACGTATCAGATACACTCTACAATCCTAGAAACTTACTGCCATCAGCCATTTAGTGAAAATTTGTTCCAAAGAGGCAATAGCTCATGCGCATCCCTCATCCTCTGCCCAGGTACCTATCAAGTTTGGTTGATTCCTCCTGATGGTGATACCTGATTTCTCCTCAGACCCCAAATCACAAATCATTTCAACAAACCTCCTTGGGCTCAGTTACTGTTTCATTTGCTATTCCGCATGCACGTCTTGGGCTCCGCCTCCCTGGGTCAGACGAAAACTAGGGAATGTCTCCCGACTTTCAATAACTCAGTTTCTATCAAAAGTCTTCCGACTTTGCCCGAGTGGATGCCCTCACTAGCGCCCATCCAGCCCAGAAGCAATCCCGCGGGTCAGGCAGGAAGCGCTGAACCACCCCGGCCTCAGGCCGTCTTCCCGAAATGTGATCCACTGGCTCCCCAGGCTGCAGGAGACCTGTCCGGGAAGGCATCGCAGAGCCTAATTTCATGCATTTATCAGAGTTCGGCGGGTACTTTGCTGATGTACATGTGGATAGTGGAGATCGACAAATGGATCCAGCGGGGAAGGTGCGAGACAGGGGCATGCTCGGGTACGCCTAACCTCTAGAGGTTCAAGGTCTCGCGCGTCTCACCACGGAATCTCCAGGAAGGCGACCCCACTTCTCTCTCACCATGCCTGACCTTTTTTTTTTCTTCTTCCCTTCACCTGAGTTCCACTCGGTCCCTGGCTAAAATTGAGTTAGGTCAATTGATTCCAAGGGGTTTTCTCTTTTGGTCTGGAAGCATTGGTAATCATTGAGTTACCATTGCTGTGCCAAAACTGTCAACAGTTTCTCAACAGTATTCGCTACTACAACTCGTGACTTTCTTTCCCAACTCAATTTGAGTCATTCAGCTCACACAAAATGAGACGATTGATAGAAGGTTAGCCTTGAATCATCCAGACAGCCCGCCTATTGGGTGCCATGCCGTCACCCCGCATTCGTCTATCCTCTCCAGGATCTTGTTGACTTTGTCTAGGTTGGGGCTTTGTCAAAACGTCAACAAAATTTATGTTACTGAACTGAAACTCAATAACTCCCCAGCACAATAAGCATCCATGCATGTGATGACACATATAATCACAAGTCCAAGCCACGGCACATGTTGTCTGTGTTCTCGGACGAGGTTCGGCCTCTAAAGGATC